CTCTCGCTTCGTGACCGTCTTGTCAAGCCCCTTTACCAGACTGAATCAAACATCGTTTTATTACTCATCAAAACTTAACCAATTACTTAGAAGTATAAACCACAAAAAGGCATAACCTTCAATCATAAGCCAATCACACGAAGTACTTAACACGTCATAACCACGCGATTAATAACTTGCTAAATCGGAAACAAACACATAGCAACTGTCAAATTTAGTTCTTCATCAATGATTTTAATTCTAAACGACGACAGACATAACACAGTCATTCACTAGTAACACAGCCAACCAAGTCGGTCAACAAATTCATGACACCTTTCTCATTTTACCTATTAATGAAGGTGTAATTGGTAGCCTAATCATTGGGATCTGAGTTCAACTCGTTTAATTGCTCTAATTAGTAAATTTAACCACTCCAGATGACCAACATTAGTCAATTTCATAAGATTAGGAAAACCCATTGAAAGGTATACAAATCTAATACTAGTTAGGTACATAATGAAATGTGTGGCAGATGTTGCGCCTGCCACAGAACAACAAAATTTCGTTGCATCCACTATAACAGCGCATCTAATTAATAATGAGCCTACAACGCCTCAAACGTCGCCCATTTCTGATAATGTGAACTGTAGAGATTAAAGTTTTTGCCCCCATGGCCGCAACTACTATATGATAAGCTCTAATAATGCCATGGACAACTCGTCGTGCCCTTGCTCTAACTCCTGGGGCCATTTGTCACTAAACCAAGCACCTTGAAAATAACCCCTAAAACCCAATGTGGAATGTGTGTATTTCATTTCCAGTACTAGTGTATTGTCTACCCAATTCTTTAAGTAAAAGAACCCCTTGTCCAGTGTGAGATCTGTGGGCCCCCTCTCAATAACAATAAGCAGGGCCTTACACTGTGACAATCTTATATTGACAAACATTGCGTCAATGTCATCCTCGCCCATTTCCCCCAAATAATTTCTCCTGGACAGGGCGTCGGCAATCAATTGCATATTTAGGTCACCGGAGCAATAACAATGTGGGTGGTACATGTCTGGCGGTGTTTTGTGCAACGTACAGGAGAATATATTCAAGAACATGTCAGAAAAATTAAAAATTGAATTGTCCGTAGTAGTCGTGAAAATGGAACGGCAGTTGTAGTCCATGGCACAAACATATCCAAATTGATTACAGAACAGGGCTTTCAGCCTTCAGAGGCAAATTGAAAATTTGACCCGAGTATCTTACCACCTTTTCCTGGCAATTTCCCTGACCAACTTTAGATTGAGATAATTATCTTCAAAATGAAACCTACGCCACGCAACACGATCTTTTTTCTTGTACATTTTCATTGTTTGTTTGTTAATTTTATTCTCCAGTGAGTACGCCGTCAGTCATTATAAACGACTAGCTGTGGTTGGCTGTAGCTTGTACGAGATTTATATGAACATTGGATCAGATATTTGTGGGCCCTCTGCGAATACCAAAACTCTTGAAAAAAATGACAAAAACAATTCGTAGCTTATCAACCAAACCCTGCATATTTTCAGCCTAATGAAAAGCTGCATGCTTAATAGCATCAGAAAAAACACCAAACTAATGGGAACGAGATAATATGTGAAAACTGATCCATAGTGACTTTTTATTTCCCATACTTCAAAGAAGGCTACATTTTTAAATTTGTCATCCGCAAATACGGGTATATATGCAATTTAAAATTCATTGTCATGTAAACCGCTTGTCTGAACCATGCTGGTTATCAACCTGTGGTGCGAATTCACAGATGTTTCATATTGACGGAATGTGCCGGCTTTGTGCAATCACTGACTTAATTCTTAATTCTTTGTTGGTATTATACCGTTTCTTTGTTGGAATTATACCGTACTCGTCTAATTATGAATACTTCTCTTCGCTTAAAAGTCTTCCTGTACTTTTCATCATTATTGTATTTTATTTTCTCTTTTAGTCTTGGAAATTGTTTTCAGTGACAAAGTTATCCATCCAATAACAAAACGGAAGTCTTTTCCATGCTATATCCTGGGGATTTAATTCTTAAAGAAGTATCATATCTGGGTTACCTACTTCTCTCTCTAATTAACTACTTGGTCATCACTAATAGCATATTTTTGACCTCTGCTTTTGTGTAATTGGGTCACAATTCAACATCTGAATATTTCATACTGATGAAGCTGGATGAATAAATAACCTTATACTGTAAAAATGTGTATTCTCGAGCCTTGAATTATAAAACATCAACCACTGCGATCTAATTGTGTAACCAAGATAGCTTAAAAAGATTATCGGGTCACAATGAGATTCGTTTAAGAGTTTGAAATGGATATGCTAGACGGAATGACACAACACGACCTTGAAATATATAAGTCCATGTACGTACTTTGGTGTTAAAATTAACTCTGCATTCAAAATCGGTTCTCCAAGAAATTCTTACATCCATCTATTTGTACAGATGATAGAATGTTTGTGAAATATGCGATAAGTTTGAATTTATATCCCCCTACTTTCAGATTTTTTATCTCTCTTGAATGGTTAATTGATGCTTTAGATATTATTCCATAGTTTGATTTGCTAACATTGGTTGCTGTGAAATTGCGTGTCTGAACGAGGCTGTCGATGTAAGAATTCCCCTCCTCTCATTACGTTTATCTTAGTTGTATTACACATCACAATCTACATCGTCAGAAATGCCAACATTCCCATTGCCATACACATCGATTTAATAGTAGTTGTCGTATTAAATCGTGTAAAGTGGAACATCCTTAAATTTCCTACCATCAGTTTCAGTAAATATATATCTATCTATTCAATTTAGTGTCAGAATGATTAGAAAATCAAAAGCATGGTACGTAATGCAGTAAGCATAATCAATTTGTCTCAGAAAAGGTCCTAAAATCGGACCTAAATTTATACTACACTAAAAACAAAAGCATTATGTTTCAGGAGTTGGAATCATATTTATCCACTTTATAACGTCCCTGGGCCACGGTGTTGGTCACATTCAGCTGGCACACAAGTGATAATAAAATAAATATATGAATATGGCATGAAACTAAAGAGACAAGTTGTAAAACGCGTTTTTCGGATTCCCAAAATTTCAGGAAAAATTACTAATCTTTGAAAGCCAAACGATCCCTTGGAGGTATAATTAAGCTAACCGCTAACAAAATTCGGCCGAATTCGTCGTTTTTGTGTGGAAAATCCATTGCAATTACGCGAAGAACATAGAACACTTTCCTGGGATATCAAACCGAAAACGTCATTCTACTCAGGAGCCAATCAGCGACGGTCTTAACTGTTAACTGATATCGCAGTTATTCTATCATCACTTGAGCGCCAGCTGACTGTGATGTTGGTACAACCTGTAGTGAAATTTGCATAACAATTGACCACTCATGAAACAGTATTTTGATATAAAACACGAGCCCAACAGATTTATTTATTTTATGCACATGTTTTACCTTATTGAAATGTGTTCATCTCCTCGCAGTACCTATATATTATATATTTCTATTGTGTCAAAGCTGCTCTTATACTATTTGTTTTCATTCCGCTAACATTGTAGATGACCGAGTGTAGCATTAATATTTTTTTCATGTTTTTTGATAAAAAGATATTGAAATACATCAATCCATGTACATACTGTGGTGTTAACTCTTGTTCAAAGTCTTTTCTCTCTTACATCCATTTATCTGTATAGTGCAGATGATAGCATGTTTACGAAATATGCGATACATTTGAATTTATATCTCCTTACTGCCGAGTTCATGGTTCGTCTTGGTTGGTTAATTAATGCTTTAAATATTATTCCATGGTTTGGTTTGCTAACATAAGTTGCTGTGAAATTACGTGTCTGAACGAGGCTGTCTATTCGGGTCCTCTCTCATTACGTTATTCTCACTTGTATTATGCAATCTAGATCGCCAGAAATGCCAACATTCCCATTGTCATACACATCGATTTAATAGTAGTTGTCATATTAAATTGTGTAAAATGATAAATGCTTAAATCAGATTCCATCAGTTTCAACAAATATATAATTAGCTATTTTTCACGTCACAATATGTAGCATACTCGAATAACCAGAATACACGAGACATGACTCGTAATGCAGTATGCATAATCATTGTCTTCTAATAAGGGATCTTAAAATCAGAATTAGCCTCAATTTATACAACACTTATCGATTACAAAAAACAAAAACAAAATAGAAAATTGAATATCACCTTCACCCATGTTTACTATTTAGCATTATGTTTCAGAACGAGTTAGAATTGTATTTATCTGCTTGAAGCGTCCTTGGGGCAAGATGTTTTTGGTACCACCTGTAGTGGAAATTTGCATAACAATTGACCACTCATATAAAAGTATTTTGATATAAAACACGAGCCCAACAGATTTATTTATTTTATGGACATGTTTTACCTTATTGAAATGTGCTCATCGCCTTGCAGTATCTGAATTGTTATATGTTGCTTTTGTATCAAAGCTGCTTACACTATTTGTTTTTCCTTTTGCTAACATTGCAGATGACCGAGTATAGTACTAGTATTTTCATTTGCGGGACTGATATCAGTTTAATCTTTTTTGTATTATTATATAACCCCCAGCACATCGTCTCAGAATGCTTCACAGAAGAAGACAAACAAAAGTATACACAAGAAACAAAACCTGTGACGACACTGCGCTGGATATGTGAACTGCTCACTTTCAAATCAATAACTGGCCAGCACATGGCTCACACAATTTACATAACAACACGTGACTATCAATCTCGTTCATAGATATTTCGGTCACCTCGTACACAGGCTAGATATAAAATACAATTCTCTTTATTTCTGACAGTTACATGCCACAATGAAAATAAATCGCCAAAAATACTGACAATGGCATTCAAAGGAACCTAAACACATAATACCACTATATCAACATTTCAGGTTTTGCTGTGTTTATTTCTCATGAGTTGCAAATAAAACAATAGGAAAGTATTTGTTTCATTATTTCCGTTTTACTAATTTCAGTTTGTTGGTGTCCCATCCTGGTAACGTACTGATATTGATCGTCTCCTTTGAGTGTACTTCTCTTTGCAAAACCACCATGTGTGACCACGAGGAACGCACCCATGAAATAAATAACTTGGCACCTTCAATTAAACAGAATTATTATTCTTATATGCAATTATGATCATATTAAGTATGCTGGACTGTTCACATTGAATCTGTGGATTGACCACATAGAAACACGATAAACATAAATAAATAAACGTCATAAAAATAAAAATTATAATTATAATTTAATTTTGCCAACAAGTTTGAACGTCTATATTCATCTCGGATTCCCTTTAAAAATAAACGAGATGAATGAGATGAGTATTGGTGATAAACAATGGTCGAGGTATATATGTTTGTGAGAAATTCGCATCCACCAATGGCCAAATGTCTTTTTAGCACAAATCCAAAAAGGTTTAAAATGGGCTCTGACAGCTGGATCGGGTACGATGAACTAAGGATAAATTGTATGAAACTGAAATTAATGTAATGTACATTTCTATTGAACCGAGGAAGACAACATAATTTGTAACTTACGTATGGAAAGTTCTTGTTCCAGCAAAGATATTACATAGTTATCGTCTTTTAGTGGTGATATAGATGGCAATGCAATGATGTCTTCTGCTGAGAAAACGTTGGTGATTTTCTTTTGAAATATTTGCTTGTATTTCTGTTTTGATAAAGAAATGAAAATCAGACGAAGAAGTCATAGTTATGCAATAACATACACTAAATATATAACAGTGCGGTAAATAATCTGAATGTCGGGATAAAGCGTTCGACATATATATCAGCCCTTACACCTTCATCACTTTACCAATTGTATTAATTCGTGGCAAAAGCCAAGGATGTTTACTTTCCACTAAAATATTGGTGTATTTTCGTTAAGCCACCAAGGTTAAAAACAAACACTGGCGTTAAATCCCTCATGGTCGGTAGAATATCAGAACGAACACACACTCCCAATGCACGCAACGGTAATAACAAAAGTCAGGCGAGAAAGCAGCGATGTCGGAAAAAGTTGCCTGATACAAGCATATCTAAATCAAAAATAATAATTAGTTGGCAGGCAGCATCGTATTCGTTTGTGCGGTTTTGTTCGTACGAATTTGTATTTTTAATAGGTGTTGTTTATTTCAGCTGTGAATTAAACAACTCCATAGCACATGACATCAGACAATACCATGGCACATCAAATGTTGTTGTCATTTACCTTTGCGTAGATCGGAAGCGCCACATACATTGCAGATACATTTCTTCTCGACATCAGCGTACACAAGTCTTCAGTCAAATCCATTGCTGCCCGCTCCATCCCTGCAACCATGAGTGGATCACAGTGTGTCTTATTGTTGCGACAACTGGTAAAAATATAAACAAATTTTATTAGGAAATTAAATTATGTCATTTCTCATATTGATCAGGCGATGTTTCATGACATTTCCGACTAGAAACAGGCAGAGCAATATAATAAGACATGTAGAACAATCAGCAAACTAAACAAGAAAACTAGTATATCACACATTACATAAAAGATTAGCTTAGGCTATAGTAGAAGCACATATTATTCGCTAGTTAATAGTATTGTGAGCTAATATTTACCCTTCTTCAGTCTTAGTTCGAAAATGCACCGCTATATACGACTGTTCTTGAAATACCACTCTTTTTACAACGTTAGCCATTGCCCGTACTCTATTTGGTCGAATTAAATGAAGATCGACTCGATGCACTAAGGCCAGTTTCTCGGGAAATTGTAAACCTTTAAAATCTGATGGCATGTAAATTCCAAGGCACTGTTCTTGTGCCAGTGAGGTTATTGTTTCATTAGCATTCGTAATAAAAGTTACATTAGACCAATCTGGTGAGTGGATTCCATATTCTTTTTTATATAACTCTACATGTTGTTGGTACGTTTTCGCAGGATCTGGACGAGTCGCAACGTCCAAGAAAAACGTAATTACGAGACTTGCAGTGTTATTGCAGTTACGTTTAAATTCATCAATACTTGTCACATCCACTATATTTTGCAGTTCGTCTACGTCAAATGTCTCGTTCAGGAACTTCCACCCAGCTCTGCTATGGTTTTGCGTATAGTGGGTGTGAAACCTCTTTTCAACAATTGATCTATCCATGTACAAAGCAAATAATACAGCTATTCGGAAATGTTCATAATTGTAGTTTGGTCCGCTGGTGTAGTGATGGATAGGCAGCAAGTATTTCTTCTTCACATGAAACTTTTTCTCATTGATTTGTTTCGCCATTCCACCATCTGCATTGGTGTTCAATTTAGACTAAATAGAAAAAGAAGAAAATCTCACAGACAGGAACATTTCCGTTGCCAGTTCAATATTCCAATAACTCATGAGTACAATTCAATTTTGCCACAGGGATATACACCAAACGTGGAAATGTAATACCGAATTCCGTCTATTGTTGACGTCCAGCATGCACCAGCATTCACTGAATACATCCTAAGAGCAGGGGATTTTGTTGTGATGATGAAGAATGGGATGATGATCAAATTAAAAAAGACCCGGATGTACACGGCTCACCTGTTGCATGCATGTGTAAACAATTGGCAGTGACAACTCAACTTGTCCGATCATAAGTAAAGTTTAAAAAGTAAAGAATAAGCAGCACGCTCGTTTATCATGAGAAAACAACTTCGCTCGGAAACTGCCTTATTAACCAGAAAACGCAGACAGTTTAGTACAAAGATCTTATCCAATTCACCAGTAAACCCGGAAAATTATACTTAGAAACTTGCTTAGGGAATAGGCGTACAGGGCATGTACAAACTAGTCCATGTAATAATCTCTCATAACACTAATCTGTAATGAATCGCCAAAGAATGTATTCAAGTGTTATGTTTGGTCAAGTGGTAACTATAACCCTCACAAGAGAGGAAAAGTATGTTTTGAAACCCCTTGACACCTCTCACCAATTCATCGAGACAATTCAATGGTGCGGTCGTAATCCACATAGAGAATAAACATATCACCATTATCAATCCATTACTAAATGAAGTGATTTATTATTTGTAGAGTGTGTGAATGCCGTGTATAAACCATGGATCAACATGCGATATTGGTTGTAGGAAGCACGGACATTACTGTAGTTTGACGGGGAGTGACTAACGACTAGTTGGTTGTTAACAACGCACCAATAGTGCAATAGTGCGACGGTATATCACCGGTATGATTATTACGTTGGTTATAGGACGAACTTTAAATATGTACAGAACGACAGCTACGCAAAATTATGACAATTAACTGAAAAAGAGACGGTATTACGCTATAGCCAAAGATAATTTGCATGCTCGTTATTCTTGCTTAGGTAAAATAGTGTGCAAATTGTACGAGGCTGGTACGAGTTTGTTCAAAGAAGATGGCACTTTTATTTCAACTGGTTTCATCGAGATATTAAGCTATCCGAGACGCCTGCTGTGTCGACAAGGACACTAGTTACCACGGAATGTAAATAGAAGTATAGATGAATAATGATAATTACCAAATTACCAAAGGTACCGAGCTGGAGAGGTATATGTCATCGGAAGCAGCGACCAACGAATTGTTTTACTGTTTTACCTACGAATTGTTCTCCGAGGAGAAAACTATAACACGCAGATCATTCTATCACATGCATCCATGACATTGTTAAACAAGGATTATATAATGTTAATGCAGATCTTCAAAAGAATCATTGAACCAATTTATATCGGTCAGATTTGTGAAGCACAAAGGACAACATGTTTTCAAAATATGGGATATATTTGGTTGTGTTATTCCCTACCTTTGGTTTGACTGTCTTGTGAGTTTGGTTAGTTCTTGGCTTATACACTTTCGATTGTGTCGTAGTTCGATTTGATAACTTCAATGCTTTCGCTGTTGTGCCTCTGAGCGAGGGAGTCGATGTGGTAGTAACACTTTCCATTACGTTAATATCAGTTGTATTGTACATCACAATCGACATTGCAATAACTACCAGCATGACCATCAGCATGAAAATTGATTTGCGTGAAGTTTTCATATTATTTCCTGCACAACGGAATTATCCTTGAATCAGCTTCCACCAATTTAAACAAATATATAACTATATTTTCACGTCAGAATAAACACAGACCGGCGGATCACGAGCGTTATACTGTATAGACAGGTATATGCACTGTATCAAAATGATAGCTAGAAGTAAACAGGTTATTTATGATTATTAACATATTTACGTATAACTATTAACATTATGATTGATTATTGTACGAAATTTGCATATTCACGTGACCAGAATAAAGTTACAGGTAGTACAGTATTAATACTTACATTGTCTAAAGAAATGTCTTCAAATCGACCTAAACATAATTCTGCATGTCATATACAGCAATTACAAAATACAAATTTAAGAATTATATATCACTTATATCCATGCAACAGTTTAGTATTATGTTTCTGAAATACATTAATATTTCAACACATTTGATAAATTACAATGATACGAAACTGTCTATGATTTTCCCATCAGGTCATCTCACATCTTGTACTTATATTCACTATATATATATATATTCTCTATATAGTCACTTACGGTCATGTTTTTTCAAAAACGACATTTCTATATAAAACACGAGCTCGATAGAGATGAATATGGTGGATGTCTAGTAACTTGTGTTATCGATTTCCATCTATCGTCCATCTGAACACTGAAAACAAAACTACAAGATCTGTACGCTCTTTGGATAAGCTGTTACCATGTTTATTGTGCTCAACAACACGATCTGTACTTCCCATTGGCGGGCTGTTACCGTGTTCATTGTTCTCCAAGAAACTGCTTGTGACTAATTGATTATGTCACTCATCAACAATCACGTTTTTCAAAATCGATATTTTATATATAATATGTTTTATTTCATGATGCACACGTTCCCTTGGTGGGATGTTATCGGTTGTTTATAATACGTTGATACAGTAACATGTTCCACAGTCAATAGGTTTCGTATTTTTGCTACTATGCTATTTGTCGGTATCGAGACTCTGGTTAGTAGAGTCTGTCTGATGTACTCCTCGATCACACCACGAAGCGTACGAGATTGCTTAAATTCAGTCAAAGTGAACTATCTGTGTTTATCACACTGCTAATTCGACTCACAAACAAATTACCATTGTAATCTCTGTATGCGTTTAAAATCATGTTATTTCTTAAATAAACAAGTAGCCAATTCTTATCGTTTTTGATCAATCGATCAGAACTCTTAATTTATTATTTGTGTGATGACAAATCACATTCGTCCAGCACCAATGTACATGGACTCAATAATGTATACACCATAGCTGCAGTACACGCCGCGGAAGAATGTGCATGCTCTGCGTGTGTATATTGATGTCTGGGGATAGCCTTTGTGTTTTTTTATACCATTTCAGTTGCATAAACTGAGTGTGACTATTTTAAATTGATTATGTCAAGATTCGTACCAAGTTAGAACGACTACGAAATCTGAGAGGATATTGTAGAGAAAACACCCTTCTACTTAGAAGTCTGTAAAAAGACGGGTACTGCAAAAGTTACTATGGGATACCCGGTGGTACATTTATTAGTAATGGTACTGGAAGTAAAATGAGTGAATTGAATATTCACGAATAATATAATCTGAGGTGACGCTGAGGTCAATAATGTCAATAATAGGAGTCATTACAACATATGTTTATGAGCACTTCCCTAATAGTAATCGCTATCAAAAATAATGACGATCTCTTTATTCGTATAAGTACAACGCAAACAACGAAAGTTTGGTCATAGAGAGCGCTGTTTATCAAAACTATCTAGCTAAAGTTACAATGCATTTCGTCTTTATCATTTGCAGATCACTGTACATACAATCGGCTGAAGTTTATAAATTAAAGGTGAAACTTCCTCCCATCTTACACAAGTTTACCCTTAATGAAATCATGACATATTCAAACAAAAAACGTTTGCAACCCTCGCAATTCTATTAAAATATTTTCTTACAAAATACCCCATCTTACCTTATATGTAAAATGATTCCCTGCTCCATAGTGTTTCGAGGCAGCTTTGTCCGGTTGATATTATTCCAATATAATATAAATACACCATCTCGTGGAGGTCTGTGGTGTAAATGCAATAAGTTTGATCGGATCGCATCCACTCCAGCCAATCAATAGTCGTTGCGCAGTAATGTGTTGATTGGATTGTGCCATGGTTACCTACACATCGTTGTCCTTGTCGAGTGTTGACATCCGTCAAAAGAGATTATTTAAAAGTAATCTTTAAGTTCATTGTTCTTTTATATTAGCATTTAATAATTTCGTGAATTGCGCCCCCTATCAATGTAATTGCGATGTACATGTATAAAAGAACGCACACGTTGTGATTCATCATTACTCATAAACCTTTGCTTTGAAACGACAATATACAGTTTATCATACATGGAATATGTGGTTCCCTTGATCATACAGTAAAACCTGACCCTGAATCTAACAACTCGTCAAATACGCAAACTATTGTAGCGGGAAAGCATCCCTTGAAGGTGACCTACTCAAGTGAACTAGCTACCTTTGACATCCCTACTAACTAAGTCATGGTGTTTTTGTGTACCCGGTACCAAGGGTGCTAGAGTGTGAAATTGAATATTAATGATTGTAATTCCCTGTCTTGATTAACTACACTTTAACTACATATTTTGATTTAGTCTCATTTTAGCTTCAGCCACACCCATAAAGACCTGCACACGAACCAGCACTCTTCGGTCAGTTCTTGTAATTCACCAACAAGACCTCAAAATCCAGAGTTATGGAGGAACCCAGAATTGAAGTACAGCGTATGACATGATGGTAAAAATTGGTGTGGCTTGTTAGCTATTGTATATATCTGGTAGCGTCGCTTATGTGTGGGCTTCGAATACGAAAACAACATCCAGCACCATCAATGCGATGATACCCCATTGACGGTGCTGAATTTACGTTGCGTAAAAGTAAACTTCAATTGACCTCAATATGATGACGCATGCGTTGTGGATCACGCAGCCTGAAGCATGTGCACTGCATACACAATATGCTAATAACCTTTAACGAGGTTATGACATATTCATGAATATTATTTGAAAGTGAAATTATTAGAAAGCATGTAGTACGAAAAGCCGGAATCACGATTATTCGGTCTTGAACCCAACGCTGTCTATTACGGTTATTTGAAGACTGTGAACGCTTTCTATCATACTAAACTGGTCATAAATTTAACAACTGCTTCTGCGGTTTACACTTAAATCTAAATGAGTTACGGCAAGACTTAATAGGTCCCGATTGTATATAGCTCCACCACTGGCTGTTCCCGGCTCCATGCGTCAAGACGACTCCCGAAGAACTAAAGGCATTGCACTCCACATAGCTTAGACAAAGACTGTAGAGATAATTTTGGCTCAAAACTAAGATAATTGTGCATTGCTTTAAGTTCTCAGTAAAGATATTGCGAGACATCCTATGTAAGGGTTTCAGAAGACAGCTTCAATGTGCTGTTGTCTTGGCAAGTCTATGTGACTGTGACCCCACGTGACTTCTATGTACTTCATGTCATTATTGTGTTTTTAATAAAAGAGCTTAACAGTGTATACTGTGTTTCAGTGATTCAATTATCAAAGAGTTCCCTTGCCCCGCACCAGTCCCTCTGAGTGATATATTTTGCACTCCTTCTGGTCCGCCACAGCTCTGCACAAAGAATTGTTGTTAAATGGTGGTGCTCGTGGTCAGAATACAATGATATCGAATGTTTATTGTCACAGTAAATAATATACTTAATTATGGGAGTTCTAAACATAACACTAATATTCTAATATTATGAATTAGATTATTAACGACAATGAATATAGGCATAGCAAAATCTCTATATAAATATATATGGATCACATGGTAAACATGAAGTGATGTTAGCTATTTCGAAAAGAGTAAACACATCTTGCTAAACATGTTACACTGTTATATATTATTTGTAATCAAATGGTTTCTGTTAGAAACATGGGTTTATCTCAGACATGCGAGATTGATTTGTGATCTTCTGCTTTACAGTGATATTACCACACTCGTATATTATATATGGAGAAAAACATATCTACATAGATGAAAGAAAGCGATATATTTTTTAAAACTCTGCATATGTACTTCAGGCACTAGCATATGACATAGTATTGCTTTGAAGATGTCAGAATAAATGATGATAAAATTAAAATAATATATTTTGTTATACAGGCAGATTCAATAATGTCCTTGTTCCCAAATGTAGATGTATATGTCATCCGAATTATCGCCTATCCATCAGTAGTTCATGTGGGCGCCCGATAGTTGTTCTCGGAAAAACGAGAATCGTGCGTTTTACGTGTCCTCCATTGTTATAACTTTCATCTTAGATCCGACTAGTGCTATTTCCTACTTTATTGATTCTACTCTACATTTTCCAGTGTAGTAAGTTTACTGACTTACATTACAACACCCATAATTCTATAGCCAGTACATTGTCAGTATTATGGACCTTGGATTTGTTGATTGTGGCAATTTTTTCGTAGTTCATGGTTCGTATATGAATTCACCACCATGAGTAGTCTTGAATTTCAAGTTTACAATGTTCCACCTTACTGCCTCTACATATTACCTTGAACAATATTATAAGAAAGTGGTGTATGTTAGTTGTGCCACCGCAGTTAAAATAGGGAAATTTTGAGCATATAACTGTATAAAATGACATAATCAGTGCCTAGCAAATTTCCACCCAGTGTCCTTTTCCATGTGTGATAACAATTAGTGCAATTTTATCCCTGGGAACACTCACATGGTTGAAGTGTATGATAATGTGCCACAATATTTATGAGCCGGACGTTTTCGACAATTTTAGCAAAATTTATGCGGAGAGCGACAATTTTGGGGTCAAAGGGGCCCTCAATGTTGATATTTTTAGGTACAATTTTTCATTGGTTAATA